GGGTTGTCTTGATAATAATAATAAAAAAATATAAAAATTACAAACTAGCAAAGGAATTATAAGGAATACTTAATCCAAAAAGCAATAAGAATGAAGGAGTGACAAAAGGAAACATAAAATAAGTCCTGGCCAGGTAGCTCAGTTGATTAGAGCATCATCCAGATACACCAAGGTTGCAGGTTTGATCCCCAGTCAGGGTACATACACGAATCACCCAATGAATGCATTAATAAGTGCAACAACAAATTTATGTTTCTCTCTCTCTCTCTCTCTCTCTCTCTCTCTCTCTTTCTCTCTCTCCTTCTCTTTCTTTCTAAAAAATCAATTTAAAAAGGGAAACATAAAATAGATGGATGGAATAGAATACTGATAGTAATGTGTTTGATCCAAACCTAATTGTATCAGTTAATTACATTGTGATTTGACTAATATTGTCAGACTAGATTAATAAAGTAAAAGTGAACTATTTGCTATTTACAAGAGCCACAGTTTAATGATAAGAATACTGAAGAGGTAAAAGTTAAGGATGGAAAAAATATGCTATGCAAACAATTACCAGAAAATAAAAAGCTGTGTAACTCTATTAGTATCCAAGTATACTTTACGATAAACCAGTTAATCATCATAAAGAGGTCAGTTCAACAGGAATAGATCACAATCTGGAATCTATGTGCCCTTGGAAAAATAGCTTCAATCTCTATATAGCAGAGATGGGCAGAAAGAAAAAGAGACAAATCCACAATTATAGTTTGAGAATTCCACATCTTTCTCTCAATAGGTAACCAAAAATCAGAATATAGAAGACACGACCAACAATTAAACTTTAAAAAATAACAGATAAGTGTATTGAACCCTATAAGTGTTGTTTTTAAATATACATGGAATATTGACAATATGCTGGGCTCTAAAACACCATGCATTTAAGAAGATTGAAATTACTCAGAGCATGCTTTCTGACCCCAGTGGAATTAAAGTAGACAATCAAATAAAAAGATAACTAAAAAAGTAACTTCCAGGAGATTTAAACTGCAGTACTACAAAGTCCTTTGGATCCAAAATGAGATCTTGGAAGAACAAAATAAATTGTATAGATGTTGACCTTAGACGAAAAGTCCATATGAAAACTTTACTTACCCTAATAACAAAAACTATCATTTTCTGAGTGCCTGCCAAGAGCCGTGTTACCTGCTATGTATTTTACTTGTTATCCCTGGGGGAACTTTGACTGCCAAGGGCCATTTGGATATTGATAACATCATTCATGGGCCACACAAAATTATCAATTTTAAAATTAGCCTGCTATATTTGGTCAAACACTTAATTAACTCACCCCTAATGCCTTGGCAGGACCAGACCAAATAATTTCCTGGGCCTTATACGGCCTGCAGGCAGGAGGTTCCCCACCCCTGAAATAGCATCCTATGAGGTCGGTAAAGGATGTAGACATACATGACACAACATCTGAGCGCCTAGAGCAGGATGTGTGCCAATGCTGTTGGCAGTAGTAGTGCTGGATGACGTAACACGTGGCTTCAGGGACAGACTGTGTGAAATAACTCACCCAAATTATTTCCCTTACCCCTTACAGTAAGGTAACACAGTCTGCTCTGCTTTTACTCTCATTCTATATTCGAGGAAACCGAAGTTCAGAGGGATTAGAAAACTTGGTCTCTAGGATGCAGTGAAACAGGCCTAAGCACTATTCAGTTCCGCATTAAGAGGGCGTTTGCATACGCAATCTGGAAAATATTATGCTAAGTGAAATAAGCCAAATGGAGAAAGACAAATATCACATGAGCTCACTTATTTGTGGAATCTAATGAACAAAAGGAATTGGCCAACAAAATAAGACTGGGAGCAGGGAAGCCTGGGACAGATTAACATACCTCGATGTGGGGTTTGGGGGACAAGAAGAGATAAACCAAAAACTTATGTATGTATATGCATAGCCCATGGATACAGGCAATAGAGTGGTAAAGACCTGGGGGGAGGGAAAGGAAGGGAGGAGGGGGAAAAAGGGTGAGAACATAGGAGATATCTGTAATACTATCAAAAATTATATTTAAAAGAAAACACAGTTAAATGGTCCTGAAGACCTGAAATTTTACTAGGTTGTTATTTGTGATTCTCAGAATAAGATCTTCACTGAAGTTGTGCTTTAGACATGTTAGCTCACCTAAGAGCCAAAGAGGAACTAGTCTAATGTGTGTAAAGTTAGTAACCAGTACAAGAAGAGAAAAAAGGGGGAGTTATTTTATTTTGACTTTATTACTTTAAAAAAGAAGTGAAACAAGAGACGTTTCCAAGGTCACTAACATATCCTGAGAGCTGCAGAAAACAGAACTCTGCGATTATCTCTGTTGTGATCGTCTCTATTGGTCCAATGTTTGCATCCTGCTGTTCTCTGGTCTTGGCATGAGCAAAGGAAGACGATGTAAGAGAGAAAATATCTTTATCTGGGGTGTGTCACAGAATGAGATCACTGCCGACGCGGACTTCTGTTTCCTTTCTTCACACAGAGAACAGTTTAGGTATCTCAGTACTACTTTGGTGTACTTAGTTGCCTATTGGTATAATTTATGTGGAAGCCAAAACAGTGTCGCATTTTTTACATCCTTGGGAAATACACAAGACTTGGATGACTAAATGTCATGTTTAGGTGTTTGTGGGGCGAGAAAGAGAAGAGTCATTGAGTTAGCAATTGGTTCCTAAATCTTAAGAGCATTATTTTGCTAATGTGTTAAAAACATTTTTCCTCCACAGAAATTCCTACAACTACTCAGAAACCCACCACGACGGATGCTCAAAGTTCCAAAGCCCTGTCATCGCATCAGAAACCCACCACAGTGAATGTTCCAGGTACACAGTCCCCATCAACTCCTCCGAAACCCACCACAGTGAATGTTCCAGCTACAGGGTCCCCATCAACTCCTCCGAAACCCACCACAGTGAATGTTCCAGCTACAAAGTCCCCATCAGCTCCTCCGAAACCCACCACAGTGAATGTTCCAGCTACAAAGTCCCCATCAGCTCCTCCGAAACCCACCACAGTGAATGTTCCAGCTACCAAGCCCCCACCAGCTCTTAAAAAACCCACCACAGTGAATGTTCCAGGTACAAAGTCCCCATCAACTCCTCAAAAACCCACCATAGTAAATAGTCCAGCTATGGAAGCCCCATCAGCTCCTCAGAAACCCACCACAGTAAATATTCCAGCTACGGAAGCCCCATCAGCTCCTCAGAAACCCACCACAGTAAATATTCCAGCTACGGAAGCCCCATCAGCTCCTCAGAAACCCACCACAGTAAATGTTCCATCTACAAAGTCCCCATCAGCTCCTCAGAAACCCACCACAGTAAATGTTCCAGCTACAAAGTCCCCATCAGCTCCTCAGAAACCCACCACAGTAAATAGTCCAGCTACGGAAGCCCCATCAGCTCCTCAGAAACCCACCACAGTAAATGTTCCAGCTACAAAGTCCCCATCAACTCCTCAAAAACCCACCACAGTAAATAGTCCAGCTACGGAAGCCCCATCAGCTCCTCAGAAACCCACCACAGTAAATGTTCCAGCTACACAGTCCCCATCACCTTCTCCGAACCCCACCACAGTAAATGTTCCAGCTACAGAAGCCACACCAACTCTTCAGAATCTCACTACAAGAAATTCTTCAACTACAAAAGCCCTACTAATTCCTCAGAAACCCAACCTCGCTGTTCTAGCTATGGATGCCCCACCAACTTCTCAGAAACCTCTCACAGCCAATGATTCAGCCACAATAGCCAAACTATCTCCTGTCTCAAATGTTCTATCTACAGAGACCCAACTAACAGTCCAGACTCTCATCATGATAAATTCTTCTGCTACACGAGCCACACCAAAACCCCAGAGCCTCACCACAGCAAAAGCTTCCTATACACAGAGTCTCCCAGTAACAAAAAAATTCACTATGGTACATGCCCCAATGACTAAGGGTCTCCATACAACACAAAGATTGACATCTGCTCATATTGCAGCCACACAGAATGAAGACGTCTTCACGACACCTCGCACCTCGAAAGGAAGTGGACTCGTTACAGCAGGTGAGCTGACACTGCTCAGGTTCCAGAGTATATATGGATCTAAAGTGCTGTGGTGGAGAATGTCAACTTGACCAGGATTACGTAATTAAATAATCTGGGATCTGTTGTAGTCAGAGTTGTTTTCATACTCATGTTTTGGACTTTCTTCAGAGGCAGAGTTGGATTGTGGTTAGGGCAAATCTTTAAAAAAGATTTTGCAACGATATAGAAAAAAGGTGTGGCCCCATAAAAACGATGCTAAGTCAAGGTTGGTGAAGAAATTCTGTTTTCTATATTAGCTTTAGGGAGTCGTTGAATTTTTCAAGACTCTTCCTAGAACCAAATATATGCCATCCTTAAAGTTGATTTCTGGGTCTGGTTCATTGACAGAGACCCGTCCCTCAAGCATGCTAAAAGCTCTCTCCAGATTCCCTAGAGTTGCTAATTTGGTAAAGCAGCTCAACAGTGTCTTCTAAGTAATTGAAAACACAGTTCTTTGAATTAGTTCATAATAATGCAGGGCTCTTTAAATAAAGGCACTTGAAGTAGAATGTGCTATAGACTTTAGAACTACCTGTTGAGTGAATACGTGAAACCCATTTTACTAATTAATGCTGCTTCAGACCACTAGGATGTCTTCTTGTCCCACATCTTGCCTAATGTACAGCCATTTTAAAAAATATATATATTTTATTGATTTTTACAGAGAGGAAGGGAGAGGGATAGAGAGTTAGAAACATCGATCAGCTGCCTCTTGCACACCCACTCTGGGGATGTGCCCGCAACCAAGGTACATGCCCTTGACCGGAATCCAACCTGGAACCTTTCAGTCCACAGGCCAATGCTCTATCCCCTGAGCCAAACTGGTTAGGGCTTTACAGCCATTTTTATATGCATTCTTTTCCAATAGGGATACCTATTTTGTTTTATTATATGTTGTTCCTTGGAAAATCTCAATATAACTGAGCCAAGAGATAATTTTCAAAAACAGTATTTTAACATTTTTATTGAAGTCAACACCCATGCAGAAAACTGCAGAAAACATACATGTGTGGCTTAGTAACTTTTTTTTAAAAAAATTGAATTTATTGAGGTGACATTGCTTAAGAGGATCATATAGGTTTCAGGTGTGGATTTCTGTTACACGATCTGTATATTGCACTGTGTGCCCACTACCCAAAGTCAAATCATACACCATCATCATATATTAGGCTCCCTTCACCCTACCCCACACCCTTTGATGTGGCAACCACTACACTGCTGTTTGTGTTCATGAGTTTCAGATTTATATCCCACATATGAGTGAAATCATATGGTTCTTAGTTTTTTCTGCCTGACTCATTTCACTTAGCACAATATTCTCAAGATTCATGCATGTCATCACAAATGGCAGTATTTCATTTTTTTATGGCTGAGTAGTGTTCCATTGTGGATATGTACCACATCTTCTTTATTCAATCCTCTATCACAGGACACATTGGCTATCTCTATGACTTGCCTACTATGAATAACGTTGCAATAATATAGAGATGCATACATGTTTTCGAGTTTTTTGGGTATATACCTAGGAGAAGGATTGCTGGGTCATATGGCAGCTCTAGTCTTAATTTTTTGAGGAACTGCCATACTGTTTTCCATAGTGTCTGTACCAGTCTACATTCCCACCAGCAGTGAATGAGGTTTCCCTTTCTCCACAACCTCTCCAGCACTTGTTATTACTTGTCTTGTTGGTAATAGCCATTCTAAAAGGTGTGAGGTGACATCTCATTGTAATTTTGATTTGCATTTCTCTAATTGCTAGTGAGGTTGAACATATTTTCATATAGCTGTTTGTATGTTTTCTTGGAAGAGGTGTCCGTTCAGATTCTCTGCCCATTTATTAATTGGGTTGTTTTTTTTGTTTGGTGTTGAGTTTTATGAGTTTTTTATATATCTTAGATATTAAAACTTTGTTGGAGTTATTGTTTGCAAATATCTCCCATTTGGTTGGCTACCTCTTTGTTTTGTTGTCTTTTTTTTTTCTGTGCAGAAGCTTTTTAGTTTAACATAGTCCCATTCATTTGTTTTTACATTTACTTCCATAGCCTTTGGGGTCAAGTTCATAAAATGTTCTCTACGACCATGGTCCATAAGTTTGGTGCCTATGTTTTCTTCTATGTAATTTATTGGTTCAGATCTTATATTTAAGTATGTGATCCATTTTAAATTAATTTTTGAACATGGGGACAAACTATAATCCAGTTTCATTCTTTTGCATGTGACTTCCAGTTTTCCCAGACCATTTATTGAAGAGAGCAATGTATTAATTATTACAAATGTATTTATTTGAAAGTAATTTCTGCAATGCCTCACTCATATTCATTGAAAGGTTTAAATAATAAAGTGATATAGTAATTTAAGTTTTGATAACATCTGCTGAAAAAAACTTCAGTTTCTGATAGTTTCTTGAGCATAGGATCAGATCAGTAGTTACTATTTAAGCTTTTGAATTTGTTTCTTGTCATCAAATCATATGACCAAATTTACAAGGTGTTTGTTTCGGTATTCAGTAACTCTTTATCATGTTTACTGTTTATAATGTTAACTTGCTGAATAGATATAGACACTGGTGTGTATTTTATTTGGTTGTTCATAATGTGTAATTGTTTTCATAAATTTATTTATAATTATTTCTTTTAGTTGTGGAAATCTGAGTTACTTTTGAACTTTCAAGTACAGTTTACATATATGAAATTTGTAGCAAATAAACGAATTTAGTAATTTTTTAAAATTTTCTTCTTTAGGGATTACCATCATTGGAACTGGTAAGTCTGACTCCTTGACAGTTAAAAGAAATCGTCATCGCTGTAGTAGGTACAATCCATGTTTCTGGCAGAGAATATTGTGTTATAACTGTCTTAGGTATACTGTTAGAAGGCTGTGTCCATGGATGCCAAAGAGAAAACAGGTAAATGTATACTATTTCCAACCATATTCTTGTTCCAAAGTAATATTAGGAAAACTTCAAATCATTGGGCCACACAATCAAGTATTATTATATGCCGATTGTTTTAATTCTAGGGGCCGAAGAATGACAAGAAAAGATAGTTATTAATACAGGTTCTAGCCTCAAGCATTTTACAATTAATCAGAGATGACTTCTTGTTTTTTTTTAATCTTTATTGTTGAAAGTATTACATATGTCCCCTTTCCCCTCCACCGACTCCTTCAAGAAATTACTTCTTGACCATTTCTAGATTTCTGTCTTACCCTCAAATAAAACAAAGAGTGCTACCTTTGATTATATGCTCTTTCTTTTCCCTTCTCTATCAGTGATTGAAAGCAAAATTATTCTTAAAAAAATGTTCTGTTGCTTTAGTCATGAGGCCAAAAACAACTATCTGTGTTGAAATTTATTTTTGCATTTGGTCCAGTCCTTTATTTTATCCATAAATATATTATTTAATGTTACATATTAACAATAAGATTAATAAACTTCCAAAGATACTAAGAGAAATGTTTAAGAAGCAATACAGTTAAATTTGCATATTGATAAGTAACATTCAATAGAAAATACACTCTTATAAAAAGTGTATATTTTAAAATTGTGTCCTAATAATCTGGAGTCTTCTGTCTTATGTATGTATGAATTAGCCAAGGGACTATAAAGCTGAAGACAGGTATTGTGAAATTATTTTTTAAAAAATTATTTATGATAGTTCTTTTATATTTTGAATAAATGTCTCCTAAAGTTTAAAACTAAAAGATTTGTTTTAAAAGATTCTGTCAGAATTCAATTTGTTTATTTTATATTTTAAATAGAAATAAAATGTATTATCAATGAATATTTCATGATTTCATGTTGACAACAGTGATGTGTTTAATAGATGAGGTATTTTTCACCTGCTCAGTATTGTTCAATAAAGATTTGAAATGCTTATTATTTTCTCTTTAAATTCTTAAAATATATATTATGTGATTTCCCAGAAAGCTTTTTTTAGAGTTAGTTGTAATTCTAAATTATCCTCAAAAATAAAGAGGAATTTCTTCTCTTTTAAATCAGACATATAGTAATATTTTTATTTGTGATCCTATACTTGTAAAATATAAACCTGAAAATTCTTTTTTTTTAGAGTGGCATTTTTTTAAATCATTGTTTTCTTATTTTTCAATTGCAGTTGGCATATAATATTATATTAGTATCAGGTATACAACCAGTAATTAGACATTATATAACTTAGTGATCACCTTGATAAATCTAGTTAGTACTCATCTGACAACATACATAGTTATTACAATATTATTGACTTTACTGACTATTCTGTAATTACCAGTTTATACTATTCAATCACTTCACCTTTTTATCCATTTCTCCAAACCCTTCCCCTCTCATCTGGCACTATCAAAATGTTCTCTGTATCTATGAGTCTGTTTCTGTTCTGCTTGTTCATTTGTTTAGTTGTTTTTTTTAAATTCTATATATAAGTGAAATCATATGGCATTCATCTTCATTTGACTTATTTCACTCAGCACAATGGCAAGATCTCATTCTTTTATATGGCTGAGTCATATCCCACTTCTTTAGTTTTCATTGATTGATGGACACTTAATTTGCTTACACATCTTGGCTATTGTAAATAATGCTATAATGAACACAGGGATGTATATGTCTTTTTCATAGTGTTTTGGGTTTCTTCAGATAAATATCCAGACATGGAATTACTGGGTCTTTGTTTTTTTTTGTTATATAGCCTATGTTTTAAAATCTATTTTGCCTAATATAATTATTGCTACCCCAGATTTTTTGTTTCCATTTTTATAAAATATTTTTTCTATCCCTTTACTTTCAGTCTGTCTGCATCATAAGGATCTTGTTTTGTTATTCATTCAGCATTCATATGTCTTTTATTGGAGCACTTAACCATTTGCATTTAAAGTAATTATTGATACATATGTATTTATTGCCATTTTAGTCTTTATATTTTTATCTTTTTTCTTCTTAAATAAAACCCTTTACGATTTCTTGTAATATAGGTTTGGTGGTGGGGAACTCCTTTAGCTTTTTCTTGTTTGGGAAACTCATTATATATCCTTCAATTCTAAATGGTTACTTTACTGGGTAGAGTAATCTTGTCAGTGGGTCCTTGCTTTTCATCACTTAGAATATTTCTTGCCAATATCTTCTGGCCTTAAAGTTTCTGTTGAGTAATCAGCTGACAGTATCATAGGAGTGACCTTGTAGATAACTAACTGCTTTTCTCTTGCTGCTTTTAAGATTCTCTCTTTGTCCCTAATCTTTTGCATTTTATAGCTGTACTAGAGGCTCAGTGCACGATATTTGTGCACTGGTGTGTGTGTGTGTGTGTGTGTGTGTGTGTGTGTGTGGAAGGGGGTGTCCCCTCAGCCCAGCCTGTGCTCTCTCACAGTCCAGGAACCCTCAGGGGATGTCCACCTGCTGGCTTAGGCCCGCTCCCCCAAGGAGTCCTTAGCACTGCCGCAGAGGTGGGAGAGGCTTCCACCATTACCACTGCACTCACCAGCCGTGAGCCTGGCTTCTGGCTGAGCAGAGCTCCCCCTGCGGGAGCGCACTGACCACCAAGGGACAGCTCCTGCATTAAGCACCCGCCCCCTGGTGGTCAGTGCACATCATAGTGACTGGTTGTTCTGCAGTTCAGTCGATTGCATATTAGGGTTTTATTATATAGGATAGTATTCCATTGTGTAAATGTACCACAGCTTTTTTATCCACTCATCTACTTATGGGCACTTGAGCTGTTTCCAGATATTAGCTATTGTAAGTAGTGCTGTTATGAACATAGGTGTATATATATTTTTTCTGATTAGTGTTTTAGGATTCTTAGGCTATATTCCTAGGGATGGGATCACTGGGTCAAAGTAGAGTTCCATTTTTAATTTTTGGAGAAAACTCCATACTGTTTTCCACAGTGGCTGCACCAGTCTGCATTCCCACCAGCAGTGCACGAGGGTTCCCTTTTTATTGTGTCTTTACACCTTTCAACACATGACAAACTTAAATCCCATTATAAAGTGACTTCAATTATCTACTTGTTATTCAAACTTAAGAAGTCAGATAATCATATAACTTTTCAGTGATCTTTTTGGTCTGGCAAGGAAAGTGTGTGGATTTTTCTTAACATTTTTGAAGAAATACAGAGGCACAGAAAATCCAGTGATAACAGCAAGATCCTGTAGATGTTGCTGAGTAAGATGTGTTGAAACCTGACTTATAAATCTGAAAATTTAAGGTTTACTCAAGCATATTCTTTTCTCTTCTGCAAAAGTCTCTTTCCAGTGTGACTTCACTTTTCCACAATTTCAATCCCTTTATTCTGTTACATTAAATGAGATTATAAGCAAGAACTGAATCTATCTACAACTTTCTTATATTTTAGAGCATAAGGAATACATTTCTACTTTATTAGATGTAAGTTGGACCTTTTGAAGTGACTGACTGAACCCATATTTCTTCAGAAAAGGAGACTAGTATCATTTCATTAACACAAGATCTTGTAGGTAGAATTCTGATTTGGATTTTTCAAAACTAAAGAGGATACTCTGTATATTGCTTCCATTTGCTCATCTGCAAAAATAATGTCATTTTATACAATTTAATAAATATTTATAAGCACTTTCTACTATTTTCCAAGCGCTGTGCTAGTTATTGGAGCTGATCAAATGAGATAACAGGCGGCAAACTGCTTTGCAACATTTTAAACAGTGTAAACATATTTCTACTTCCAGGGACATTACTGAAACACTACCTTTTCTTGGAGAAAGTCATTTTTAAAGTTAGGTAATTTTTCTACCTCAGAGCTCTTCAATTAATGACTAGGAACACTGGAATCATAATCATAATTTTATTAATAATTCATAGTTTCATTTATCCCAAGTTGCATAAATATTAAATTGATTCGGATTCACCTTTGGGATAGTTTTCTGTAGATACCAAGTGGATTTTAACATCATAAGTTATTGACATTATACTTAAATTTTTTTCCTTCTAATTTGTGAGATAATACTCCATTGTCAATTTATGAAGCAATCATTTCTGTATATTTGTTTCTCAAACTTCTGTATTTTGCTCTGGCTTTATGTTAACCCATCAATCTTCACATAGTTTCTTCAAGAATTACATATATGTACTAATTCGAGTTCTAGAAATAGGCTTTTACTTCCATCATCTAGCTATTTGGGATCACTCTTAAATTTCTATATTCATTTATCATTCAAATCGAAAATGGAGGTTTTTGCTACATTTAAAAATAATAGGGTTAATGAAATGTGGTGAAGGGGGAAAAAACCCTCAAAAAATGCTGAGGAGCCAGGATTTATTTTATGAAAATGATATAGTCCTAGGGCATAAGTTAAAGAAATTGACTGAGTAAAGTACTATAAAAACTTACCTGTGGTGGAAATAGCTGTTGTTTTTTGTTTTGTTTGTTTTTTTAAATAATTTGTCCACATGGCAGTGCAATTGTATAATATCTATATATAGCTGATGTGGAACCAGATACACTCATTAGATACATTAGCTTCAGTTTGCTTTTCTAGTATCATCTCTACTTTCCTTTGTAGTACAGATCAGAAGAGTAGAGTTCAAGGACATTGGAGGGTAGAGTGGGGAGGAAATGCATATATGAAAGATCAATGGTCAAATCATTTAAGTTAAGCATGATGGGGTTAAAATACTTAATAATCTTCTCAAACCTATCAAACTAATTTTATTTCATGATTATAATACTTTATTTTTAATATTTTATTTCTTTTTTCTTTGAAAGAAAACAGAACAAAGGGTAAATAATATGCAATTTTTACTCTCAAATTTGTAACATATAGAAGCCATATGCAAAACCATAATTTCTGTCTTCTATATTTTCTTTAATTTGCCTCATAATATCCTTATGAAGTTACACTGTATATATAATTTTTATGTGTTTATTAACTGTGTTACCATATTTTCCCCTCTCAAGGACTTACTGTTGGTGCAATAATAGTTGCTATCATAAGTCTAACCAAAATTTTCGGGGACTATGGAAGATCAGGGTGAGCAGAAATTCTGATGACTTAAAACATTTGCTCTTAGCTTCTTTCTGGTAAAACTTGATATTTTATCATGAATAGATAATTTTCCTCACTTAATTGTCTTTTTAGACATGCTATCTCTTTATCCCTTTTGTCTGGAATCACTACCTTGCATAAGCAGACTTTGTGTCTTTTTAAAAAATTTCTCAATATATTGAAAAACATTAACAACATTTCAAAGGAAAATGGTTTGAAAGCCGAAGTCTCACTTTGCAGTCTATTAATCAATTTACCCTTTCCGTAGTATAATTTATGGTAGCATATGTGTGTTGCACAAAACCAAAAAAATCTAGGGGGAGAAAAGCCAACCTCTAACATATTGTTAAATTGCCTGTAACTAGGCCTGTCTTTGAGTTGCACTTATTGATGCATGCCAGTCTAGCCAAAGACGACAGGCTCTGGCATCTGACTGCGTGGTTCCATCCTGTGTGTCTACTGTTCATGTGCCATGTCACTGTAAGCAACTTAGCCTCTCTGTGCCTCAGTTTTCTCATCTGTAAAATGGAAGAAATAGAAAACATACCTTATGGGATTGTAGTGAGGATCAAATGAGTTTCCACCTGTAAAGAAGTTAGAACATCCCTTGGCATATAAGAGGCCTTCAGATGGTAAAAGAGTAACACATAGGGGAAAAGCCAGTCTGATTTGAAACATCTGATCTGCCTTGAACATTCATATATTAAGTATATTGTCCTGGTTGGCTCTGGCATTTTCTGCAGACAAACAGAGGATTACTTAAGTTGACCCTCTTCTGGCCCTCTGGGCAGAGGGGACAGCATGCACAAAGGCATGTCTGAGAAACAGAAGGCTTTTATCTCAATTCATCCTTATAAACACACACGACACCTTAAACACATAAAAATAAATAAATAAATGGACCCTCTTCTGTTATCTTGTAGATTTTATTGTTCAGAAAACTAATTATGGAGTTCATATAAACTCTTGAGTCATTTCTATACTTCCCTAATGGCTCCATTTTCATTCATTAATTAAGAACAACTATATTTACACTGTTACTAAATTGCCTGTCTTAATTCTTGGATGAATGTGAGCTATCTACTTTCTGCCCCATTTAACACTTTCCTTTCTCCTTAAATTAACAAATATTGTTAAGTAGTATAGTTAAGCCTACTATAAGCCTATTATATGTATGAACATTCTTTAAATCACTGAATTGTTCAGTATTTTAGCCAAATATTAGACCATTAGGTCCTGGATTTTTGAAATCGATTTTCCTGTTAATAAAGTGGTCTTGAGGCTATAATACTACATGTCGTAAAATACAACGTTCTCTTCAAATTTTGCAGGATCTTTTGAAGAAGGGGCTTTAAAGCCCAAAACAAGTCCAAGTCATTAAAATAGTTGATCATGCAGATGCCCCAGCAAAACTACTCTGGAAAAAAGTAAACCAGCTACCTTATGCTCTTCCTTACATTCGTTCCATCCCTTCTGTTGGGTTGCAGTGGTTCTCAACCTTCCTCATGCCGCGACCCTTTAATACAGTTCCTCATGTTGTGGTGACCCCCAATTTCATTGTTACAAATTGAACATAATGAAAGCATAGTGATTCATCACAAAAACAATATGTAATTATATATGTGTTTTCCGATGGTCTTAGGCGACCCCTGTGAAAGGGTCATTCGACCCCCAGAGGGGTCGCGACCCACAGGTTGAGAACTGCTGGAGAGCATTACCTGTTTACCTTCCAGAGCCAATGCTTTGGGGCTCTGCTGATGAGATAGGTGGAAAGTGGTGAGTTTACAAGTTGCTAGCTCTTAGCTGTCATCAGTTTCTTTCTTTTTTTTAAAAAAAAAAATATATTTTATTGATTTTTTACAGAGAGGAAGGGAGAGATAGAGAGTTAGAAACATCGATGAGAAACATCAATCAGCTGCCTCCTGCACATCTCCTACTGCCCGTAACCAAGGTACATGCCCTTGACCGGAATCAAACCTGGGACCTTTCAGTCCGCAGGCCGATGCTCTATCCACTGAGCCAAACCGGTTTCGGCTGTCATCAGTTTCTTTACTTTGGCAAAGTAATCGGCCATGATATTTTTGATTGGATGAAAAGTGTTGAACCACAGAAGGAGGTAATATTCGTTTCCCTAATTCCTCTATTTCCAAATAAGAGGAAATTCAGGCAAAAACCCCTAAGAAAGAATTTGCCTTTTTTTATGTGCCCTGTAATAACACTCCACTTGCCTTATTGGAGAAGTAAAAGCTGTTGAGAGGAAGAGCTAACCTTATTCATTCCTGGTTATTCTCCTAATTCGTATCACTTTTAAAACGTTCATACCTATTCAATTAAAAATTGGATCTTAATGAGGACAGGGCACAGAGTTCATGAGTCTGAAGGTGCTAGTGGACCTTCACCTGATGATCCCTGTGTTTGCCTATGAAAGGTTTTCCGATGGTCTTAGGCGACCCCTGTGAAAGGGTAGTTCGACCCAACCCTTTCAGAAGTGTTGGGTTTGTACGATACATTCGAGCTCAAAAGGATGTGGCTGTAAGCAACTGCTGGTACTACTTTTTTGATTCAGGTTAGAATTATATAATTCAATTAGTGTTTTCCCTCTCTACTATTCAGCTCTTATTACATCCAGGAGAACAACAAAGAATTCAATGTTATGTCTCATAATTTAACAGAGACTGGTGATGCCTCAGAAGTATGGCCTTCTGGTAAATTACGAAAGGTATCTAGTTCTATAAAATCGCATTTCTTGCCAAATGTCCATCAATACTGTTGTCTCAGGGTGTGTCTGGTGCTGTTCAAAGATAATAGAGGCGTTCACCTCTATTATTGTTGGAACTTTCTCTTTTTGTGAAGGATTGGCATTACTAACATTGAATTACTCAGTATGACATGTCATCAGTTCCTGACACTTCCGCAATATGCTCATCATCTCATTCTGTGTTTTGCACTCAGTTTATTGTAATGATTCGATGCTAGCAATGACATAAATATTTTGGGGGGGAAAACAAAAGGTTGATACATCAGGTCTACTAATAAGAATGCCTTTATTCTAACTATTTGTATCATGAGATGATTGGCTTATATTGTATTTGTTTCTCTTTTTTGCTTGGTGGCTTTCAGAGTCTCCAGGGTTTAAAATTTGATGTACGGTATATTTTATAAGTCCTGTTTATGGATCTTATAAGATATCTCTTTTATGTTGTCACAGGAAATGGTTACACAAAAATAACTTCATGTTAACGTATTTGTGAAACTTTCTAGGTGTCTTTTTCTTGGATAAAACTTTCCTCTATTTCACATGTAGTAGTCAAGGGGTTCTCATTGACTTTTAATCTGAAAGTATCTCAATTGATTCTACCTCGACCAGTTAATCTCAAAAACTATTTTAGTTGGTGTTGCCATAGTTACTCTACTCTAGCTCCACAGTGGCTGAGGTTGTCTATACTGTATAATTTTGCATTGTGTGACACCCCAAATTAGTCAATTAATTCTTCTTCATGCTTTATCATATCATAACTTAACATTGCATGCTTATCACCAATAAGCCAAATTACCTTGATTTTAACTTTTTATTTTTAATTTTCAGGACACACATTTATGACATTGACAGTTTTGCTTATGATGCTGGTAGCCACTGGCTACCTGACTTAGCCAAAGAAGCGATAAGAAGAAAGTGCATACAAGTACACAGAATATTCTAGTTTTTATATGTTTCTGGAAGCACGGACACAATATATGCAGTAGTGTTCTTCATCTTGCACGTTATCAGTGTCTTTAAGGTGCATAGGAATGTCAATAAAGCTAGAAGAAAAGACTGGAATCGCATTCTGAACATTTCTAAGCCTCTTGAAAATAGGACAACTCACAAGACTGAGAGCGATTATGTTTCTAAAAGTGTAGAGATTTGTGAGCATGAAGAAAAGGAAATCAGTTATTTTTCCCCATTAGATTTGTAATGTTATTTTTACTTACAAAAAATATATAAAAAATTAAATACATGAATTGGATATTGAAAACAAATGAAAAAAATATTGCCCAGTCTCTTGAGGAAAATTGCCAAAGAGAGATGAACCACATTATAAAGTCACCCTTCTTGACTCTAAGGCATGTTTATCTTTTCTTGTTCCACTAAAATGAGTTTGAATGGGTTGGCAAATGTTTTAAATGAAAAACATGTTAATGACTCAGAGTGTCAAGTTTCTTGGATTTAGGTGGTGGTAAAGAAGAAGTATAGAAGGAAGAAACAATTATTTCTTTGCCACATAAGTACAGATAATTAACAAGAATTTAGCTCCTTACTTTTAAGATGGATTAGTGACAATTTTAATTTTATTCTTCGGACAGTCTTTTTTTTTTTTTTTTGTAAAAGGATCCTGGGAAAGGGTGAAAGGGAAAGGGTGAAAGGAGGAAAGGTGTCTTTTTATTAACTTAATGTCTTTAAAAGTATCCAGAGATATTATAAGATTTCTGAAATGATTCTAAATTATATATCGTATTTTTTGTGATATTAAGATTATTTATTTATATTAGTGATATTAGTGAACACACTGGATTTACATGTATAACAAAAAAAGTTCAAAAGGATATGTAAAGAAAAATTTATTTTCCCTAAATGAAATAAATAATTGATCATATTTTTTTGGTCTCATGTAGTATTTGAAATTTACTTTCTTAAATATAAATAATTTATCTCTAAATAAGATATTCCCTTTCTGCCTCCCATAGTAGTTTACAATGATATCCTTTTGCTTATCCTAAATGTTTGGTGAAACATTTTTGGTTGCTTTTAAATTATACTATATTGTAGTTTCTTAAGCATGTCATAATCCTCTCAGAGTATTATACTACTTGTTACTGATTTACCTAAAGGCAATCAAATTAATTTTCTAGATTCTTAATATATTCTTGTCATCTTACATTTTAAGTTATGGAATAGACTAGAATATGCACATAACTAAATTTAACAATAATTATTTGTCACATTACATCATCTGCTTTGTTGTTGAAGTATTTTAAACTAACTTCCATACCCACCATGGCATTTCACTGTAAATACTTCAATATGTGTTTCTAACAATACAGATTTTTTTTTTTACCTAACCACAATCAGTACAAGTAACAAGACTTAACAATAATTTGCTAATAGTTTCTAATATTAGGTAATTCATTTTTTAACTCTCCTAAAAGTACCATGAATAAGTACATATCCACCTAATTCATTTGTTAACTAGGAGCCTACTCTCTCTCAACCCCCCTTCTATTTCCCTCTCTTTCCTTCTCCCTTCCCTCTCTCCCTCTCTACCATGTGAGGACACAGTGAGAAGGCAGCCATCTACAAGGCAGAGAGCTCTCACAAGAAGCTGACCATCCTGACACTCTGATTTGGGGCTTCTGATTTCTGTTGTTTAAGCCACTCAGTCTATGATATTTTGTTATGGCAGTTTTGAGTTAATACTATGGCCAAAAAAAGTATTCACCGTATTGTTAGTTTATAGAACAATTGGTAAATTCACTTTACACTTTACAGGTAAGCTTTATATATTAATTTTTAAACTGAACGTATACTGAGATCTTTAGCACTGTGATTTTGTGAAGATCTTTAACCTCTCTGTTTCTTAGTCTACAAAAATTACAGTAGAATGTCAATATTTGTAGCGTGCTTAGAATAGTGTCTGGCACACAATACACTATGTGTTCTTAAATTAAATATAAGTAAACAAAATAAGGCATAGTTCTAAAGTTCTTTATCTGCATTTATATGTTTCTGTTTTAACATATGGAAGTTTTATTGGCTTCTTGTACTTAGCATAATGTTTTTGAGGTTCATCTAATTTGGGGCATGTATTCGTACTGCATTCATTTTTATGGCTGAGAAATAGTCTCCTGTATGGATATACCACACTTTGTTTATCCATTCACCATCTTAATGTTGAGGGGCATTTGGGTTGTTTCTACATTTTGGCTGTTATGAATAATGCTGCTACGAACATTCATGTACAAGATTTTCTGTGAGCGTTTATATGTTTTCATGTGTTCTTGTTACTACAGAAAGGAGTTCAGGCTCCATGCCTCCTGTGTTTGTTTTATTTCTTGGGCCTTTTCATGACTATGAATTATTGGGCTGTTGCTATTTAACATATTCTGTTCCTCTATGTTGTAGTTCAACAGGGATGCTGAGGACTTCAAACCACAGATTTCGCTTTTCCACATTCGAAACGTCTTAAAGGATAGATGGTTTTTAGACTAGGGCAGAAAAACATTTTCATCCATAATTTAGATTTTTCTCCCCAGGCGTGTGTGTGTATTTTATTTCTCCTCTTATTAGAGTGCACTATTAGCTTTAGCCAATGATGTTATAACACAATTTAATAAATCAGTACGTTTATTTGGAAAGCAACACTTTCAAATAGAGGAACATGTTCAGACTTGGTCCTCTGACCATTCATGTCTTTATCCTGTATGAATAACGGTTGCCTTTGTAAACGTAATGACTGTAAGACATGTTCTTCTATTTCCTTTCTTTTTAAATATGTTTTTATTGATTTGAGAGAGAGAGGAAGGGACAGGGGAGAGAGAGAGAGAGAGAGAAACATCGATGTGACAGAGAACCATCCATCTGTTGCCTCCTGTTACACACCCCAACCAGGATGGAACCTGCAACCTAGGCAAGTGCCCTGACCATGTGCCAGCTACTATGGGACGATGCTCAAGCAACTGAGCCACACCAGCCAGGGCTGCACTTCCATTTCCTCTGAATCTAGGGAGGTGTTATTAGTGCTGCTTTATTGTTTTTATCTCAGAGATAGCACATTTGAAAGTTAGGGATGCTATCTTGATAGTTTAACCTTTTCTGGAGTATCTTAGAGACTCCTCCCAGATGTATGTAGCAGTTGGTGGTCTTTTTATATTAATACAGTGGGAATTCCATTGCACACTAAAGACATTATTATCTTTCTAGCAAAGAATTAGGTGCATACACTTGTCTTGATCAAATTGCCGTCCATAGAAACCGAGTTATATTCAGAATATATCGGGGTTATCTTCAGTGCCCATTTCACGTCGAGGGAAGTATGCAGATCCTGAACCCAAAATGCTTCTGGAAGGCGAGAGCCCCTATTTAGGGCTCTTGGCTTTTACTTGGACTTCATATTCCCCACCTTTTCATTCATGGGCTTTCATTCAGGGAGAGAAAAAAACAACTGATCATCTTCAGTGGCAGAATCTCATCACATGCGTGGGCAGAGGGGAGGTTATGGCTGTCCTTTTTGTCCGAAGTAGAGAAAGGAGACAGGCCACTCTGGTCCAGGGCAGTGGGGGGCTGCCTTGCAGAGACTGTTGTGCGCAGAAGTGCCCATCATGGCCCTGAGTGAGCTTGGGGAGGTCACACTGCGTATGTGCCCTCCAGGGGGCAGTGCTGTTCCTGAGGAAAGAATGGGGCGTGCAGGGGTTCCTGTAAAGTTGCTCCTCTCACATTGCAAAACCAAGCCTCCCTCTGCTGGGCCCTCATTTCACCCACCACAAAAGAACCTTCTGCCTGCCTTTGGTCAGATCCCGCAGGGTGAGCTATCAAAGCAGAAGCGCTAGGTTAGGGATCCTTCCTGAAGTTTGAAGGCTTGCAGACTCCCTCATGTCATGAAAGAAAAAGAATCTGGATCCTCTGAGAGGGACCTCAGTGACAGCAGATGGCAGCAGCCCGCCCTCTGAGCCACGGATGGACAGCAACCTTCCTGCTTGTCAGCCTAACACCCCCACCTCAGCTTAATCATTCAATCTCCAAGCAGGCGTTCGTTTAAAAGAGTCAAGGACTTGGAATTCTCTGTTTGAATAAAGAGTCTAACAAAGCTATGGGTTTTACTTCACCTTTTGAATAATTGGGGGGAAAAAAGAAAATTTCAAAGCTCTTCCTTAAAAATAAAACAAGTATTTTTTTAAATCTTTGATAAGACATATATATGAATTTAAATATCATAACAGGGGCTCACATTATTACAGCAACCAATCAGAAGCTCATACTTTCAGGGGCTAAGTCACGGAGGGTGACTTTTTAAAAAAATATATATTTTATTGATTTTTTTAATGCTCTTTTTAAAAATATATTTTATTGATTTTTTACAGAGAGGAAGGGAGAGGGACAGAGAGTTAGAAACATCGACTAGAGAGAAACATCAATCAGCTGCCTCCTGCATGCCCCCTACTGGGGATGTGCCCACAACCAAGGTACATGCCCTTGACCGGAATCGAACCTGGGACCCTTGAGTCCACAGGCTGATGCTCTATCCACTGAGCCAAACCAGTTAGGACTTTTATTGATTTTTTACAGAGAGGAAGGGAGAGGGATAGAGAGTTAGAAACATCGATGAGAGAGAAACATCGATCAGCTGCCTCCTGCACACTCCCTACTGGGGATGTGCCCACAACCAAGGTACATGCCCTTGACCAGAATCGAACCTGGGACCCTTTAGTCTGCAGGCCGATACTCTATCCACCGAGCCAAATCGGCCAGGGCCGGAGGGTGACTTTCATGTCATACGGTTCTGAGGGGCTCTGTAGGAGAGGCGGCAGGAAATACATGGTACCCAGGCTGGCCTGTAGTTAAGCAGTCAACGCAGGCTTTCCCCTCCTGAAAGTCCCACTCAGAGACAATGGGCTTTCACTAAGTTAGGTGACTTGTAATGGACAGTATGCCGCACTACTGGCTCAGAAAATAGAATTACTTACTGTAGGAAAAAAATAAGCTCAAATCAAGACAGTAGAAGTATTCATTGTGGAAAAGTTGTTGAACAAAAAGCACTGTGTTGTGCTTAGGTTTCAGGAAAATTAGAAATTACCTAGATTTGTGATTTATGATGCTTCCAAAAGGGGAACAAGTGAAATTGTTTATCTTCACCACCAGGATTGAAGGAGCTATGCTCCATTTGACAGTTACTGTAACTTTCACAGTAGCCATTGTTTCATATCTTTATCTGATTATTTAAAACTAGAGGCCTGGTGCACGAATTCGAGCACAGATGGGGTCCAGCCGGCCTGCCCCACTCGGGCCCGGCTGGCTGGGGGGAGGGGATGTGGGAGGTTGGCCCGCCGGCCCCACACCTGGGCGAACTCCAGTCGAACTCCTGGTCCAGGGGACAATTTTCATATTACCCTTTTATTATATAGGATAAGGTTTGTCAAATGATAAAATTAAGTTATCATAAAAGGTACTAATATACATTTCATAATAGGTAAACCAATAG